CCTCGAAGTGTTGACGGATGGCCCCGACGATCGGCTGGTCGAACCTCGCCAGCTGCTGCTTCATCTTTTCAGCATTGATCGCCGGCCTGGTCCTCATTTTCTCGACCGCTTTTTCCCTGTCTTCCGGGGTCCCCCCCCCAGGCGGATTTTCTTTGCACGATGATATGTATCATCGTACATCTCCGCCTGGAGTCAAATGGGTCCCCGGCAAGGACGTGCGCCACCATCGCCGCGGTGGTCCGGTATGCGCGCGCAACCCTTTGACACATAAGCCGCCCCATCTGCAGAGGACACTCCTCCTGCCCCGAGGCGGCCCGTCAAGGTCGCGCGCCCACACGGGGGCCCCGTACAGGGCCATGGACGGACCACCCCGGCATATAGGCGGCGCTTAACTTCTCCGGGCCCCCCTATATTCGGGAGCATGCGGCCCAAGGCACGCGATGCCCCGGTAATTCGGGGGGCCATGCGATCGAGATGCCCTTTGAAGCACCAGTTGCCGTCCAGGAAGAGACCCAGGTACTTTAGCTCGGTCCCCATCCTGGTCGGCGTCTCACCAATCATAACGTGGGTCGGCGGGGGCCGGCACCGAGGCGCATGAAACCATAGCGCCTCGGTTTTGCCAAGATCCACCCGCAGACCCAGGGCGCGAATCCGTGCCACTAGTCTGTCCGCCGCCACCTCCGCATTGACAAATGCATCCTGCCACTTGGCCCCCGAGGCAACGAGCAATGTGTCGTCTGCGTAGCAGACGACGCTCGTGCCCGGGGGCATGGCGGCCCGCAAGATCGAATCGTATCCGAGGTTCCACAATATAGGCCCGAGTACTGAGCCCTGTGGAACCCCGCAATACACCCTCCGCCGGTGTATAACGCCGTCTCTACCTGGATATGTAATCCACCTGCCCGCAGATAATCCCCGATTATTCGGCGGAGATAGAGAGGCACTCCGTGATACTGGAGCGCCTCCCTTATCCGCTCCCAGGGGAGTGTGTTGAACGCATTGGCGATATCAAACGATATCACCAATGCCACACCCCCCGGGAGACCCTTCCCTCCACGAGCGGACACGGTTGACCGCATCAACCGCGGACCGCCCCTCGCGGAACCCGAATTGTTTCTCCGCCAAATCAGGGCCAACACGGGACAGATGCTCGACGAGGCGCTTGGCAATAACTCTCTCCAGGAGTTTGCCCACCTCGTCGAGCAGGCAGATCGGCCTATACGCGGAGGGCTGATCCGCGGGCCGCCCCTCCTTGCGGAGGAGGACCAAAAGGGCCTCCTTCCACTGCCGGGGGAACTTACCTCGGCTCAAGCAGGCATCAAAGAGCCGCCTGAGCCGACAACCGAGTGCGCTTCGGGCCAAGACCCAGACCCTGCCGTGGATCCCATCGGGGCCCGGGGCTGTGTCCCTTAGCCCCGTCCGATCCACAGCACGGCGAGCTCCTCCTCCGTGACCCCCAGTTCGTCGGACCAATCAGTCAGGTCCGACGATTCCGGAGGGCGAGTCCCCTCTCCCGGCACCACCGGGAAAAGGGTATTAATCACGCCCCCCAGAAATTGGGGGTCGAGCATTTCCGTAACTGGGGGCGTCCAGGTGCGGAGTTTATTCCGCACCATTTTATATGGACGCCCCCATGGATCAGCATCTAATGTCGCCAGGAGCTCAGCCCAGGCCTTCGCCTTGGCCCCCTCTATGGCCTTGGTGAGGCCTCGTCGCGCCTCGCGATAAGCCTCACCAAGTGCCGCCGTCGCCGCGGTGTCGGACCCGCCACTTTGTTTGCGGCGGGCGTCGGCGTACCGGCTGCGTACCGTGTTGCACCTAGCCCGGAGACTGTCTATTTCCGGGCTCCACCAGTACACCGACCGACGCGGAGGAGCGCGTCCCGTCCGGGGCATCCCCGCATCCGAGATGTCGGCCATGACACCCCGGAGCCATTTCGCTTCCTCCTCCACGTCCCGACATGGTCCCTCTATATTCTGGGACCAAGCTACCGCCACGACAGCCGCCCCAAGCGCATCTCGGTCTAGGCGCCGAAGCGCCCATCGCGGCGAGCTGCCCTCTGGGCGGGCACGGCGCCGGATCCCGCCCCCGGGCGAGGAGACCACCAACCGGATATACCGGTGGTCAGACAGCGTCTCCTCGTCCAGGACCCCCATCCGATCACCGTGTCGGCGACCGCAGGGGATGCGAACGACATCCACATATGATGTCCCCTGCGACCGCACGCACGTGGGCCCGGAGCCATCGTTTAATAGACGAAGCCCCAGGCCCTCCGCCCAGCTCATCAGTATCGGGCCGCGCACGTTGCCCCCGGGGTCACCCACCTTGCCAATCTGGCATTAAAATCTGGCATTAAAATCCCGAGGACTAGGATCCTGGGGTCCCGGCGCAAGCTCCGATCTATAAGCTCAGGGCCCCCAGGTATCCCTCGAACGCGCCCGTCTCAGCTTTGGGCTGACATAGCAGCTCACCACGGTAAGCTCCCCCCACTTTACCGCCGCCCAGCCGCCACGCGGTTGAACGTGAGGCTGGGCGTCATGTTCCTCGCGAAGATCGCCGCGGCGCCGCACCTGCTACGCACCCCATTTTTGGGTACGCAGTACGGCTCCGCGGCGACCACCAGGCCAACCCTCCACCGCGCGAGGTTTTGGGCCAAAAGGTCCTGCGCCCCCGCGCAGTGGTTGAGGTTGACCTGCACTATCTTTAGCTCAGCGGTGGCGGTCAATGCCGCCATCATTGAGCCTTGGGTTTATGGGGGCCTCCCCCCTTCTCCGCTTGAATGGATCCCCGTGGGACCTCTTTTCCCCCCGCCAGAGCTTCTGGCTTTGGCGGGGGGTTCTTTGGCTGGGCCCCATCCTTGGGGCCCACCCGCCCTTCTCTTTCTCGGCGCTGGGGCGCAGCTCTGCGCCCCTAACCGATGGTTTGCGGCCTCCCAAGTCCACACACAGCGGACATTTTGGGAGGCCGTGCACGTAACGCGCGGTGGCCGGGCTGACCGCAGCGATAACAGCGGTCGCTCCGGTCCACCGCGCTTTGGCACCGCTGCCTGGGATGCCCGATCTCCAGGCAGCGGTAACACTGTAGGCGGCGGGTGGCGAGCATGTCGGCTCGCACTATCACCCACCCCACACACAGCTCCCTCCTCCGAGACGGCAGCGATCCTCCTCGCCGCCGCCAATGGACCTGGGCCCAGGCCGTGGAGAGCCCAGTGGGGGGCGCCGGATTTCCCCGACTCGTATTTCCCCCCCCGGGCACCCCCCGGCCCTCGCCAGGGTCTCTATCACCTCCTCCTTGGTGGTGGCTTCCACCAGACCCGTGACGCGCAACTCCGCGCGCCTCACGGGCCTGGCGACCCTCACACCTGATCCCGCTAATGCGGCCTCCATGAGAGGGACCAGTTTTTGGGCCCTCTCAGCCCCTCCTTCCCCAGGGACCTCTAAGATGAGAGCCCCGGTTACCGCCCTTTTGGGGCGGAGGCCGCTTATCCCCAAGGCCAAGAGATCAATCTCGGCCCTGAGTTTCGTCATGGCCCGCTCCAGTGTCCACTCGCATCCCGCCGGCACTGTCAGCGTAATCTTTGACGCCGGCGGGGCACGGGGGAGGCGGGTCTTCTGCTCCGCTAATTGTCCCCCTTTTGGGCCGTCCTCCTCTTGGCCTTACTGACTTTGGGAGGGGGAGCCGGGGGGGCTTTTCTGGCTACCTCCCTTCTTGCCCTCCGTCCCACTACCTCCACCCACGTTCCCCCCTTCCGCAGGGGGCTGACGGAGGCTTCTTGGCTTCTTTGGCGTTGGGGAGGGGATTCTTCAGAGGCTCCTCCATCGTGGCCTTGGCGTCCCCTCCCTTATCTTTCTTTCTTTTTCTCTTTGGAGCCACAGGCGGCTTCATCGCCACCTGTGCCTCCTCTGCCTTCTGCTTTAGGAGGGAAGTGTTAACTACCCCCCTCTTTGATCCAGGTGGAGCTATGTTCTCCACCCTTACAACTTTGGGGCCCAGGGTCTTCCCTTGCTGGGGTTTGAGCTCCTTCCGGATTGCCTCGAGCTTTCCATCGATGAACACCTCGATTCTTCCCCAAATGTCGAGTGCACTAACCGTTGCTCCCTTTTTCTCCCTATTCTCTTTGGCCAGATCCATGAGGGAAGGGACACTCGCAGCTGGAGCGATGAGTTCGCTCACATTTGGAGCTATGAGTGCACTCCCTTTCCCCTCCCGCCAGCTCTCTTCTTTGGTGGGGGGTTCCTCGGGACAGCGAACGGCTGCTCCCCCGAATCGTCCGTTTCCCTCCTCCTTTTCCTCTCCGCTGACGGGAGGCGGAGACCCTCCTGGATCCTCTCCACCTCCATCCTCACCTCCGTCGTCACATCGGCGCATGTGACGGTCGGGTCCCGTTGTTCCATCCTCACCGGCGACATATGTCGTGGTGTAGAAGTGGTCATACCGTTCCTCAGGACCTCCACCGTTTCTTTGAGGGCTTCCACCATCTCCCTCAGCTCCACGACCTCTCGTTGGAGGTCCGCATTCTGACGACTTCGCGTTCTCAATCAGGAGCCCAGCCAGGTCGCCCTTTACTTCCACGCGGCGCTGCAGCTCCTCCACGTCTTCCACCGTCATCGTCGCCGCGTCCTTGAGGGTTCTAATAAACCCTCCCTTCAAATTGCCCGATTTCTTGGCAACACCCAGAACACTGTCCATCGACCTGTTGACGTCCTCAACCAAGTCCTGAGTACTTCTCCTCGTCGGGTCCATCTTGGATTCCCTATCTAGGGATCTCTTCTCCCTTTCTGAGCCCGCTTTAGAGGAAGAGGAGGAGCTGTTGGGGCCTTTGCTCCCATCAAAGAAGGTTTCAAAACGATTGTTGTCCTCCATTCCCTCTCTCTCCTTACTCCGTCTTTCCGCCTCCTTCATTCTGGCTTTCATCAGCCTCTTCTTCTCCCAGTCTTTTCCCACACCTATGTACTCGCCAGTGGTGGGTGGTCTACCACGAGGCCGTCGCTCTATCGTCGACATTGTCATCTCTTGCGGGGAGTCCGCGACAATGATGGTATCTGCCTCGTCATCTCCCTCCTCCTTCTCCCTCGGCCCATTATCCTCCAGGTCTTCGAGCATCCAGGCGTCTTGGTACATGCTCACGGAGGAGCAACGTGAGCGCAAAGACTGGTGGTCGTCTTCCTCCGCTGTCTCCCCCTCATCTTCCTCCTTTCTGACCCGGGACCTTCTCCTCTTAGAGGAGACAGGTCCAGGTCTCCCCCCCATACACTCGGCCTCGCGTGCTAGGGTCCCCGTAGGATCCTGCGGGCCGGTGTCTACCCCTTCCCCCCTGTGCACAGTCTCGCGTGCTAGGGACCCCTCAGGGTCCTGCGAGCCGGCGCCTAAAAATCTTCCCGGTGCAATAGGGTCTCTATTAGACCCCTGGGAAGGTAATGGGCTGGGAAGGCCCAAAAGTGAGGAGATTTTCTCACCAGTTTTTCCTTTAGTTACTTTCTCCATTTTGTCCTTCTCTCCCTAAGCTCGTCTTCAGGTACGTCAGAGTCAGAGTGACTCTGTATGTGTGTGTGTATGTGTGAGTGTGTATGTGTATGTGTACCTGTATGTGTGCGTGCATGTATGTGCGTGTGTGTGTACATGTGTATGTTCGTGCGCGTGTGTGTGTGGTGGGATGCGCACGATGAATAGCCCTCACTGGGGTGTCCCCTCCGCCAGATACCAAGATCTCTAGCAGAGTGGCCACCCCAGCTCATCGGGCCGTCCATCGTGCGCACGTGTGTATGTGTACGTGTATGTGTGTGTATGTGTGTATGTAGGGGAGAGAAAGAGAAAGAATAAAAGAAGAGAAAAAAGAAGAAAGAACAGAAGAAGGGTAGTATGAAACGGAAGAAGAAAGCGGGAGAGAAAAAGTCGCCCGTGCCGGGTGCGAGTCCACCTTCCGAAGTGTCGTTCCACCGAAGCCTGCAGCTGCCCAGAGATTGCCAGTGGCCCCGGCGGTGCCTCCTGTTAGATGCTGCATGTTCCCATCCGATCACCAATCGGCACTACATCATCGGGATTTTCGCGACATGGTCGGGCAGCTAGGTCAGGCTGGTTGAGCCGGCCCGGGCCCGTGTACTATACCGCAGCCAGGAGATCTCCATAACCCCTGTTTTAACCACTGTACCCTCTAGCGCTCCCCGAGCGTCCGCACTACGGTTTCACTTCACTTCTTTCGGAGGACACACTTTACAACACGGACTTGGCCCCAAGAGAGGGACCTCCACACCCCCCACAGAGCCCGCCCCTGAACCCAGGGGACAGGCTCCCATCCCACCTCCGCCCGCCGACGGATGTTGTTCCCTCCGAGAGCGTCCTATGATGGATGGCCCTCGCTAGGGAGTCCTCTTCACCGGAGATCGAGATCTCCAGCTAAGTGGACAGCCCCACAGCTCATCGGGCCATCCATCATCTATGGGTGTACTTAGTCCAGCCGGGTCACCCTCACCGGAACATCCGAGCGACCAAAGTCCAGATGACCCGGGGAAGGATCCCCGACCGTCAAGCCCCCTCGCCACGACAAGGCGACACCCAGAGAGGGATTTCTATTAACTTTTTTTTTTTTAAGTGGAGTAATGCGTTACGCATACCCGCCACCCCGGGGGGAGTGACGGGTTATGTGGGACTCCCCCCCGGTACTAATCGTCCGGGGGGTTTATCCACTAAACCTCCACTGGTTTCCTAACCCTGACCTTTAAGAGCGCGCCCCCCGTCTGCGTGGGCATGTGGGGGGGACGCACTCTGCCACGGTGCCCCATCTTACGTGGTGCCCCTTCATCTAATTAACTGTGGCGCGTTGGGGAACCACCCCACCGGCACGCCACCTCCCACCCAAAGGGGTCGAAATGAGGGCCGGGCCCCCGCCCGGACACCTCATCCCCCTCCCCGAGGAATTTATGGAGACGGTCCTTGATGTAGGCCCGTCTCACTCCCTCGGGAACTCTTTCTCTTGGGCAGAGCGGGGGGGTTTGAATCCCACCCATCCCGCCCTGCATCGCCTTGAAATGGGAGATCCCTCCGGTAACTCCCATTCCCACTACCCTTTCGTGAGAGCAGGTCCCCCATATGTATTTAACAGTGCAGGGGAGGGAATACAAATTCCCTCCCCCCGCATATATACATGACGTTGGGTGGGAACCCGCTCTCTCCTCCGTGAAAGGGGGCTTAGCCCCCTTCGTGTGAGGGAAGGGGGAACACCCCCCTCCCTCCTAACCCTGTCCTATGGGGGGGCATATTGCCCCCCCACCTCTACCTCCCTTCCAGGCCTTGGGGGGGAGATCGGGGATGGATAGCTCAGTCACTATCCTCCCCAAAAGGTGTGTGGGGACTCTTGGGACCCCCCAAACCCCCCCCTCGGTGAGGAACCGAGAGGGAACATGCAGCACCCACCCCCCGGGGGGTGGGCCTCCCCCCCAGGGCTCCCTCCTCCGTACCACAACGGATTCGGGGGTCACACCCTGGGGGGGGAGGCTGTCCCTCCTAACGCAGTCAGGGGTGTTCCCACAAGGGGTCGGCCCACTCCTGACCGCTCCTTCCTGGCCCATGGGTCCCGGTGCGGGGGTCTCTAGCACTGCGAGACCACTACCGCACCGGCAGATCTCATGGGCCTGGGGTGAGGGAGTGGGTGGGGAGAGCTACTCGTGCTCATGACCACCCCACTCCTCCCACCCCGCCTCCGCTAGGAGGGAGACTGAGGCCTCAACCTCCATCATCGCCGCCTCGGAGACCCCCTATGGCCTAACCGCCGGAGGAGGGTCCGGCGCAGTTAGAGCGGCCGTCGCTCCACCCGCCCCTGGCCCTGCCTGATCCGTGGGCGGCGGAGGCTGGATATCCCCAGCCTCCGTCGCCCCCATCCCTTCCCCATCGGTCCGGCTTGTGTCGGCGACCGATTTATCCGCCTCAATGGCAGCATTGCCGGGAGGCTGCAGCTGGGCACCAGACGCAACCTCCCCGCGTGCATCCTTCTTTTTCTTCCTCCTCCTCTTGCGAGGAGGAGGCACCCCCCCTCTCGGTGCAGTCCGGGGGACCGCCCTACACGCCTGGCCACCCATACGGTGGCCGGCATCCCGCCCCTCTTTTTGGCACAGGGGGCACCGCACATCAGCATTGCACCCCAGTGCCACGTGACCGGCCCCTCCGCACCGGAAGCAGCGGCCTGCCAGACCGTTATCGGTCTGGCAGGTCGCCGCCATATGGCCATAGTGCAGGCACTTATAGCACTGGAGGGGCCGGTCCTCCAGTACTCTAATTTGGGCTTTACCCAATCCCACTATCAGCCCCCCGGCTTTAACCAATTTTTGGGCCGGTGTCAGCGAGCACCGTACCCAAACCCCCCCTAGTCCCCCGGACGATCTCCTGATCTCCCCGATCTGGAGATCGTCCGGGGGACAGCCTGTGGCCTTCAGGATAGCGGCCCGCACCATTAGCTTTGTCACGGAGTCCTCCAGTCCAACGATGCGGAGCTCCGTCCTCCTCGTCGGCCTGGAGACCACCGCGTCTCCGCTCA